CATACTTCGCGTCAATTGGCCAGTCATTTGGACTGGCGGGAGCCAATAGGACTTCAGGAAAGGTTGGAAGGGAAGGAGTTCCCATAACGGAGAAATATCTCCGTGATGTCTCGTGAAAGCTCGAGAGGGAACCTTCCATTCACAGGTCAAAAACTGGGTGAATCAACACACCGACAATACAAAATCAAAAGGAAAAATAAGAAATTATATTTTACATGCAAAATGAAGACTACGTCTTGCATTAAGATTATTTTTATGAAAATTAAGAATATTTATCCTCCAAATTCTCAAACTTCTCAGTCTCACTTTTGAGTTTTTGTAATTCTCATTCTTAAGGATTCATATTATCGTAATGAAATTTTTATTTAGATTATCATACGGTAAAGGCAGTGCAACAAATTCTTCAATGATATATGCATAACTTACAATTAAAATAACGTGTCAATAGTTTTTTTTTCACTCTACAGTAATGAGATTTAGAAGAAAATTTGTTTAATGTCATGAAGATAATTGGGCTTCATTGTTATTTTTTTTGTTTGATTTTAGGGTTCATTATGAGTTTTCATGCGATTGACTTTCTTGCACACAGAATCTAACGGCTGTACTCTCTGCTGCATCTGTTAAACGTGTCCTCTAAAGTCCCTTAGATGCCTGAAGAAGAGATTTTACGACTCACAAACCCAAAAGATGGAAAACAGCACTCGATGCCAAAACTCAAGACGCTGAAGACTCGTTTGGAATTCATGGAAACTTCACCGGATTCATGCGTGACACACTCAAATCCTCCTGCTATTTTTACACCCGTGTGTTTTACCAGAAACACTAAACAATTCAGCAAACAATGCAGTGAGAAACCGTTTACTGCTGACAAAGAGACAAGAGTTTAACGAGATTTTCAGCTTTCAGAAGAATATGCAACTGTGAGCTGTTTGTGCAAAACCCAACATAAACAACAAAAACCATAAAAAAACAGTTTTGTTGAAAGAAAATAAACTTGCTTTAAGTTTTAAAAAGTTAAAACTTATGTTTTTATCTCGTTGCAAAGGCAACATTTCTCTTTTGTTTAGTTTAACTTGTACTAAAATAACTAAAACTGAAATATAAAAATGTATGAAAACTGTAAGGATTTAAAAACAACAAAAACTTTGAAGTTGGCTTGAGAAAAGCCAGAGCAAAAAGTATGAAAAAGTTTTAAAAGCTCGAAGTTTGAAGTAGTTTGAAGTTTAACGTAGTTTTAAAGATTACAGTTGAAATGTTTTGAAAGCAATGCAGTCTATTAGAAAAACAGATGGATGGATGGATTCTAGGATATTGCTAAGCGGTCGCTAAGGTACTCCGGCTGTTTGTTAGGAGGTTTCTGTGTGGTTGCTATGGTACTCGGGTTTGTTGCAAGGGTGTTGCTATGGTATTCTGGGAGGTTGCTAGGGTGTTGCTATGCGGTTGCTAGGGTACTCGGTGGTTGCTAAGGTGTTGCTATGTGCTTGCTAGGGTACCCAGGGTGGTTGCTAGGGAGTTGCTATGCAGTTGCTAGGGTACTCGGGGTGGTTGCTAGGATGTTGCTAAGGTACTTTGGGTGGTTGCTAGGATGTTGCTAAGGTACTCTGGGTGGCTGTTAGGAAGTTGCAGAGAGAAAAACTAATAAAAACACAACTATATTACTAACATTTTCACAAATTGAAATGGAAAATGCAAAAATAAAAACTAATTCAAAATATTAATGAAAACTATTATAGTAAATAACACTGGATCAGGCTCAATCTCTAAACATGTTTGTTTAAATGTTTGCAAGCAGATTAAATCTGATGAGAAACACAATCTGCTGAGTTTTACCACAAACAAACACAAAAGAATTAAAAAACAAGAGATTAAAAGTATCAAATAACGCCCTTATTTCCTGTGAAAACACTTGTGAATTATAAGGACAGTTCGCACTTTCCTGTGATAGCGCTGTTTAACTCAATGATAGTGATGTGATCAAACATTAAACAAGCAGGAAATATTAAAGTTGAGCGTGTAAGTGCAGCGTTTGTGCTCCAGACATCAATGATTCCTCAAATCAGGAGAGCTGCGATGTTGTTTTGAGTCATCAGATGCACCATTTCCCCCAGCATACTTTGCATGGTCAAACACTACTCACATTTCCTTCAGAACATGTAAAACTCAGAGAAACACGTGTTTGGCAAAAACAAAGAGGCTCAGACACACACGCTCCGTTTTTCACAGCTGGCACCAACGGCTTAAAATAGTTCGTCTGTTGTGCCAGTCCACACACACACACACACACACACAAGCGTGTTGTGGCTAGAGGTATCCCAGCATGCAAACACGCGTGGCGTAGGATCTCCCCGCGTCTGTACGGAACGTTTCATGCCAACAGCACCGCCGCTCAGAAATGTGACCGTGTTGTGACGAGTTTACTGCTGTAAAAACAGCCCCGACTAAACACTCTTCAGACGAGCACTGTCAACACACACACACACACTCACTCACACACACACACACACACACACACACACTCACTCACTCACTCACTCACACACACACACACACACACACACACACTCACGTCCAGAGATCATGAGGAGCTCAGATCAACACAAACCACTCGCAAATCACACTCATGAAAGCTCCAGTCAGAAACAAACTGGGATCGTAGCTAACGAAATACGTTCTAAGATTTGCTAACGTTCCCATTAAGTTATAAAAACGTTACTTCTGAATGCTCTCTGAACGTCCAGTTTGCAATTCATTTTATTTTGGTTGCGCGAACATTAAGGCAACGTTCCATTTTGCAAACACTATGGAAACGTTACTTTTGAATGTTTTCTGAACGTTCTGAAACAAGTAGCAACATTTAAAAAAACTTCAGATAAAAGTTAGACTAAAATGTTTCATAAATAAAATGTTCCATGAATGATGTGTAAGTAACATTTCTGTGCTACCGCTTTGAGAACATTTTAAAGACTGGACGAATTATTGGAAGAATATTTGCTCGTAACTTTGAGAGAACCTTCCCTGTTAGCTGGGATGCCACTGGAGAATCTCATAAACACACATCCAATACACACAGGCTTCATCTGCTTTTTGAAAATCTGAGTGAATCATCTTTTTCCGTTGATTTTGGGATGGAATATGAGCTGAAGAGGCTTGAGATTTGAGTTTGAGGCCTGAGATGTGAAATTCACCCTTTAATTCTCCAGTTCTAGAAACCAAATCACTGACCTGAAGAAATCAAACAGAGAGCTTCATTCATCTGCACAGAATCATACAGAACTCACAGCCAAACCCTGATGAGAGGAGGAGCTCTGACACTAGCGTGCTTCTAAACGCCATTAAAGAACATTAAAGTCTGCTCATGTGGTGTGTGTGGTGTGTTCTGATGGAGAAACACACACATGACCACAAAACACACACGCACATCCATCTCTGAGCTGAAACATCTGACATGAAGAGAGAGGAAACACTCATTTCTCTTGAAACGCATCCACGTTATGCTGATGTGTGTGAGAGTGTGTGAGAG